CATGCAGCCTGATGTGTTTACTCTAACTTTGAGCCTTTCGTGGTCTAGTTCGCGTCCAAAACGCTGTTGCGCCTTGAAACTATTACTACGCGTTGCCAGTCCTTTCCTTAAAATTTGCCAGGTAGCGTTACATTGCGATCCTATTTGAAACTCAACTTCACAGCACAGTGCAGTCTTTAAGGAAATTCTTCTCAAAGGGAGATCCGGTTCATGTAGATTGAGCAACCAGTACATGTTGGGCGTGCAGGAACCGATAGTGAAAAACAGATAATTAGCCAGTTTAATGGAACTTGTAGAGTTTTAAATAATTGCACACTTACAAACTCAAAGGATAAAGAAAAAGTTGAAGATGTGATTTGCTATCAAATGCGCACAGGAACATCCATTTTGGTTTATCTTTCCTATAAATATTCCTAAAATTCTACTTGAGGTCCAAAAGACGTCATTTTAGTAGCTGCTATCTTCACTAGTCTGACGTATTTTGTGATTATGCTCTAGGCTAATAGATGCTTAAATTCTAGTTAAGTAATCATTGCTAATCTAAAACACACTTTAACATATTTCCTAACATTTCATGAGATCGGGTTTTGTTTGTGCTTGACTATCGCTTCCCGCAGTAAGTGTATGCAAACTCTGAGATGGGTCATAATATCTCTACGTACGTAAGTAATGAACTGGATTTCTCTTCGATAATAACTGGCTTAAAGACCACGCTGTGGACTGAGTATACTTGCCCTAGAAGATCGCTATTGATGGCTGTGATGTTTTTGTGTTAAAGCAAACTGGAAGGCCAAATTAACGCTGGACATATGTTACTGTGACTGCATTACCTGTTCATAGAATTGTTTCAATACCGGTGCGCATGCTTATACCAGTCACTATACGAACGTCAAAACCTATGGTCTAATTCGTCAAGACTCGTCTCGAGCTTCGTAATCATGGTGGAAACATGAGGAGAGGTGTAGCCGGCATGGCAGTAATCCTATGCACAGTTGCGAATTGAACTACCCTGAGCTGCTACTAGTCGCGCCCTTAAAATTTGTCAATCGTAGCTATGATGCGATTTTATTACGAATTCAAATGCAGGCCACAGATACTATAAATGATAAAAGATGTTGCTCATGTAGAGTTAGAAACCAATTCGTTAAAGACTCACGTAAACATTGGTTCGACCACATCGAAACTTTTCTCCTTTGACCGCAGGAAGGCACTGTGAAATAGATGCTTCCAAATCCGCCTTTGATGAAATAGTTGATGAACAGCTGTTCTAATGTCACGTATGATGACGCCTCACACTGCAACATTAAGCGAACTAAGCTGTGATATTTGCAGTGGAACAGACTTGAATTGCATCTTACTCGCTCTGCATTTTACATTCAATGTACTTTGTTGGCACGACAAACTCTAAATCCCTCCTACTAAACCCTAACTACTAATTAAGTGTACTTGTTAGTCATCTGGTGGAGTTCAGATTGATTGCTTTGAGAGTTCTGCTTGTGCAGTCAACTTACTAAATCAGAATAAGCGGGTTTTATTTGTTGTCCTAGGCTGAACGAGTAAATCGACTCATATTTGATTAAATTCAGGGCTCCCGTCGTAGCCTCGATAGCTCAGTCGGCTAGAACTTTGGCCATACCAAATTCTTCCCCTTGCTGGCCTGGGTCGGAATCCCACCGAAGCCGGTGAATTTTTCACAACTGGGTTAAATAAATGATTGAACTCTGCCAAACCTCTCCCAATAAAGTTCGTTACCTTCGCAAAGTTGCAGTTAATTTCAGGAAACAATGACTCGTCTTTGCATGCCACGCCGAAAAGCCGCATTTTCGACCCTAATTCAGAATAATATCATTTTTAAGCATGTTTAGCGTAATTTTTTTTTCTCTATTTTTCTGCTCAACAAAGTGCAACGTGCAGCCTTCGGCTTCATACAGCACTTTTACCTTTTTGCTTCTGTTCCAAAATAAGTTGTCCTAGTCGAAGTAAAATTTCATGATAGCCAAACTTTCATGTATATATATTTCGTGGGACTATATCTTTAAGGCCAACAATATGTATCCGAGAAGTTTGTCTACAAATGGACGCAGGCCGTTCGCTCGATACGCTTAGGCCTTGACTCCAGTGAATCGATGACTGTAACAACTCGATGTGGTCTTTAGTCAAAGTTATGATTATCGCATCATTTAAATTTGTCTATTCTATCCCAGACGGTTTAAAACCTTAAACTACGAATGCTCATCTGTGTCCAGGAAAAACCCAATAAAATTTCGATTAAGAATGGTAGAGGTGACATCCATTGAGAAGAAGCAGGTTCGATCGGTGGGACAAGAACTTTATTGGCCTGACGTTTCGGATTCTGTTGCGGATGTATCGTCAGAGAACGTAGCAGAAACGGGTACATCTGCTGTCTCTGATGATAGATTCGCGACGGAATGCAAAACGTCAGGCGAATAAAGTTCGTGTTCCAGCGATCACATTTGCTTTGTCTCGATTATTCTCTTGCACTCGCATTTCACTTGTAGGGACCACGATTCTCCAAAAACTAAAAACCTTAATCTTAGTCCTTAAACATATATTTTTATAAGAATGCTACAAGTAATAAATACAAATTCGCAGGTAAATAACTTTAAAACCATTTATTCTACCTAGGTTTTACACTAACTGTGCCTAAGATACCGTAACCGAAGAATTATATGACACCTTGTTGAAAGG